TGACGGAAGTGTGCAAAGGCAAATTCGAAAGCAAAAATTTGATGCAAAAAAAGTATTTATTTATCACGCCACTGTTGATGACATGACGGCGCAAACTCACACGAGAGCAAGCGGGCGTTCAGGCGACTATAAAGAAACACATAAACATACAAGCGCGTGCATAAGTGTGTGCGTGTGTATCATATTTTTATGTGTCACACTACCGCAGGGCGACAACTTTAACGGTGTTTGCTGCTGTGCTCATATGTAAATTCAGGTAGGTGCTTCAGCGCTGTGAGCTCTGCTTGCCTTTGTAGTATTGGGATGCCAAAAGATGACTCTGCTGTTGGATTTTTGAATGGTTTGAGTGAAATTCAAGTGGCGCACTTGGGCATTCAAGTGACTGTGTGAGAAGCGCAGAGTATGTATGTGTTTGTGTGTGTGTGCTGATTATAAGCACTCTAGCGGGTTGATTGACTTGTAGCGAGTTCGTTGCTTAAGTCTTTTGTTTCAATTTACTCTTTTCTTGAAAACTTGAGCAGTTCATTAGCAATATCGCTTGTATGCAAGCTGATAATAATAATAATGCGAGGAAGCCAACTCTTATTCCTGCAATTTACCGCATGCGGAAATTCGCGCTTAAAATAATTTATAAAATTAAGCGAACAACTTAATTTCTTTGGCCAATTGCATTTCTAATAATAATCGCTAATTGCTGTCACACAGTGTTGCAAAGCCTATAGGCACGCTTGGCAGCTCTTAGGGTAGACAAGTCTTTCGCAAATAATTTCTGGAACTGTCAACAATTTCATGGTAAATTATATAAAACTTTTGCAGAAATTTCAAATTTATTTCGCATGTGAAACCACCTCAGCAAACAGGCGCTAGCAATTATGGAGATCCGCAGCTACATCCAATAATTTTTAGCATAAATAAATGCATGCGCATTTGCTTACAACAATGCAAATTTTAACATAAAGGTTGTCCGCAATTACAGGACGAAAAAATAAATTAATTATAATTACCCTTTGTAATATATAATATATACTTACATATAACATATATTGTATATATTTGATAAAAAAAAACAGATAATAGAATTTAATACTTAAATAAATTTAATTACTTTATGATGTCTCCAAATTTTCTTTCTGGGTGTTACAAACTATGTGGCAAACTTAATATACCCTGTTCAGGGTATAAGAAAGTTGGATAATTTATATTTTGCTGAGACAAAAAATTGTGACGGATTAACTATATTTACAAAAAAATATAATTTAAAGGTTGCCACCTGTTTCAAAACCATTAAAAATTATACACAAACCATAAAAATAGATGAAGCTTAAACAAACTTATGATGAAAGTATTTTTAGGAGAGCTGGTGTATTATAGGTTAATGCTATTTACAAAATAAGCAATACAATTTATGATTATATGATTATATGCAAAAAAATTATAAGAAACCCATTCTAGCCGAAGAAGTTAATAGGGCTTTCAGTTGCAAAATTTTTAGAATAGAGTTGCCACATGTTTATTAAATTTCATTCTTCAAATCGTTGGGAGAAACGAATTAATAGAATATGAGTATCAAATTCAAAAGGTTTAATAAAATGTTTAGCTAATGTTTATAAAGGTTGCTAGTAGTTAAAAATTATTATTAAAAACAAAATTAAATTGATAAAGTTGGTAAAATATTGCAATACGGGGCCAAAGTACACAGGTTTAAGAAAGATTACAGATAAAGAATGTTTTGGTGAGGGTTGCCCAAAATATTTGATTAGTATTTGAAAATATTTGATACAATGCATATGGAAATATTCTCAAAAAGGTTGAAAAAATAAACTAATTCTCATTGCCTAAGCTTTTTGATCGTAAAATAGCCCTAAAAAAGTTGCCTTTGCTAAATTTTAAATTTTAAATCAAGTTTGCGGCAAATCTGGAAAAGATGGAAAAGATAGGAGGCATCCCGCAGTTCTACATCGTCAAAGGATACCTTGATTGCTGTTCCGATCATAATATTTACTTTGAACTAGTGTTCTAAGTTTTGCAGTCATTTACTTTTCTATTCTAGGAATTTGAAAATTGTAAAAAATTTAACATTTTAAGATCTGTCTGTGTTGTCAATTAGCTCTGTACCTTGTTAGATCGAAGTTGGGGGAGTAACTGAAGTACAATAGCATTGTTTAATTACATCCAACTATTTTTCGAACGCTCTTAGGCAAATAAAAATCGTATCTAGTTCGATTGCTTAATACATTTACAACTCGCCTCTTTATTGCTGGTATTAATTTCCTCCGATGATCGCCCAGAAGTAAATCACCAACACAATTCATATTCTAATAAGGATATTCAAATTCTTCTGAAAACTCCATGATACACCGCTAATATTGGTGCGAAACTCTGCTAAGTCTGAATACCTACCTTTTTCGCTCTTAACACCACGATTTTAAGGAAAGCCCTAACGCGCTCATTACAACTTCCTTATGTAACCACTTACCTGGCTTTGCGATGATATATGTAGTTCAACGACCGCCTAGATACCGCATTCGGGTGTGAACTATTTTTTGGTTTCTATTTGCACACATGTAACTTTGGAGTTATTAGTTAGAGACTGCGCTTTTCATAAATGCCGCCGTCGCGACTTCCTCATATGCATAACTGACAGCACTTTGTACTTACAACAAATACATGTGTTTTTGTTGCTTGTTTTTGTTTGTTTAAGGTGCCATAATTATGACGGTGCTGTAATATTTTCAGCTTTTTGCCGCGGCTATTCAGAGGTGCCAACCAAGTTAAAGTAATTCAGTGGCGGTACTTGTGTGTATACCCATACAAATAAAGATGCTGCAACGAATTGTGGCACTTAACACTTTTGAGTTAGTGTTGCATACATTAATATGTTGAAATTGGTAGCACATAATGCTAGGCAGCATCGTTTCTCGAGCATTAGCATGTAAATATTAATTGTAATAATAGATTGAGGTTAAAGCCATTTAATGTATAACTGTAATTACCATAACTGTACTGGGAATGGGGATAAATCTAGCGCGGCGTAGCTTTGTAGCAGGCGCTGATTTTTACTGGCTCACATTAAATGCTCAATTTAAAGAAAGTGGAGAAAACGTGAACTTCGGTTGCCTTCACAAATAAAAAAGTTTTCCATACAAAAACTTGATTTTGATCGGCCAGTTTGTATGACAGTATAGTAGCCCGATATCGGCGGGTCCCACAAATCAGCAGCTTCTCGGACGTATGCAAAATTTCAGATCGATATCTTGGAAACTGAGAGATTTGTTCGTGCATATACAGATTAATGGGCAGACGTACATGGCTACATCAACTCAGCTCGTCATGCTGATCATTTATATACCATAGATATATATATATATATATAATATATTATATATAGGGATTCCGACGTTCCCTTCTGACTGTTACACGAAATAACCGAGGGGCAGAACTAAGATACCATGTGGGGACGTCAGCTCTAAATTATGTATAGATGAAGGTTCTCCAAAAGGGCCGCAAAACCGTAAAACTGATCAATTCTCTAGAAAGGGCACCTTCGACTTACTTTTATCAGATTGTGAGCGGTAGGAAATTCTTTGTTCTAACCGGGCAACGTAAGTTACTAGGCATTCGTAAAGTCCCTCAGACGACCCCTTTAAAAAAGTTTGCAATTGAATATATTTTTGAGAAGGGTTACCACCTGTGTTAATTCTATGCCACTAATTTGATACATGAAACCATACAGCTCCAAGGAAGCTTTGAGTTGAACGCATTTTTGAACAGGGTGCGATTTAAAGGCTCTTAATGACATCTGTCAAATATATTCAAACAAACAACATCATATTTTTTCATTGTGTTGAAAATTTTCCACCGGAAAGTGATGATTTGCGGAAAGCTTGATTTTTTATTTGCATTTGAAGAAAAGTGCTGCAGAGTGTCAATGATTATCGAGGCATATGGTGACCATGCTCTATCAGAAGCAACATGCAAAAGATGGTTTCAACGGTTCAGAGATAATATAGATGTAATATAGATTTTGATTTTGAAGTGAGAAATGAAGAAAGAAGGAAGGAGGCAGTCAAGTTAAATGTTGCACATGGGAAAGATCCAAAATGTAGAAAATGGGGCCACATAAATTGAATGAAAGACAAATGGAAAACCTAAAAAACACGTTTGAAATTTTGCTTCATAGACACGAAAGAAAATCAGTTTTGCATCAAATTGTCACTGGCGATGAAAAATGGATTTATTTTAAGAATCCTAAACGGAGAAAATCATGGGTTAAACCGCAACAACCAACAACATCGACTGCAAAAACAGATCGATTCGGTAAGAAGACAATGCTCTGTATTTGGTGAGATCAGAAGGGTAAGGTATAGCATGAGTATCTAAAACCTGGTGAAACTGTTAATACTAATCGCTACAGATAACAAATGACTAATTTGAACTGCATTGATCGAAAAACCACCAGATTGGGCCAGAAGACAAGGCAAAGTAATTTTACTACACGACAATGCATCTGCACACAAAGCAAAATTGGTTCAGGATACAATCAAAGTACTTGGCTGGGAGCTGCTACCCCACCCGCCGTATTCACCAAACTTGGCCCCTTCAGATTACTATTTGCTTTCATCGATGACACACACATTGGCTGAGCAGCACTTCGATTCCTAAGCAGAAGTCGAAAATTGGGTGTCTGATTGGTTTGCTTCAAAAGACGAACATTTCTATTGGCATGGTATCCACAAATTGCCATCAAGGTGGTCAAAATTTGGATTTAACACCTGTTTGCTAAACGAATTGCTTTAAAAAGGTTTTCTGTTGAAGCTGTTTTTAGAAGAGTTGCCAACTATTTAAATACATTAACTACTATCAAACAAAAGGGATATTATTTGAGGAGTTTTTGGTATTCATATAAATTTCTTCAACATAGTATTCACTTAAATAAATAGTATTGTAAATACCAAATAGTCGATGATTTGTATCTTATTATGGATAAATAATTCATAATACTGTCATTTTATTTTTTGTTTTTTCCATTACAACACACATCTCCAATAACTTATCAGTAAAAAATATCTTACTTAATATAAGAACAGAAAAAAAGTATATAAAGTAATGAAACTGTACTGTAAGTTTGGCGAGTGGTCATACAATATTCCAAAAAAATTCTCAAAACTAAAGTAGTTCCACACTGTGGGCGGTCGTTATCTGATCGAGTTTCACTCTTAAGTTATAACACAGAAAAAGGTCTGGTAGCCGTTAAATTGCACTGTTCTCTTAAATTTTCGTTAAATAAGCAGTTAACAGTAATTCAAAATAACATTACTGATTACTTACAGAACTGAAATGTTATAGAAATTTTTTTCATCACTAGGGTACGCCTTGAAGTTCGCAAAATAATATATTTGATTTATTAATAAGAGTAAATATTAGCTAATTGAATTATATTAATGCATAATTAGTATTAAAATCAACATTTATGGATATTATAGTGTAGTAGTAGTAGTATATAAAAAGAGGGCAAAGTTTACTGCATACTTGTATAAAGAATCTCTTCAAGCGTCTGAAGTATTATATGTTAAAAATTTACTAGTACAGATGTGCTCGTACTCATCTTTCTGACTCTTGCTACGTAAAGCCATGGTTTATGATTATCAGAGTCTTTTAATACAGAGCAAGGGAGTTATGCGAAGACGAGCCGCAGTCTGATCGATCAAACGATCAAACCCGTATCATAAAAGAGGAATTTGTCATTAAAAAATGTATTGGAAGTTGTTTGATTCAAGAAAATAAAAAGTTTTTAAAATGTGAATATTATATATAATTCCACAGTCTGCGAACTTATGGAGGTGCCCTCAAATACATTTGCACGTGTTTCTTTGTTCGTCCAATAGTCGTTTTTTTGCTGTATATGGTACAATTCTTCGTATTTAACAGCACTTCAAATGTAAGAGTTTTCTAAAGCGCATCTGCGCCTCACCCAACGTCGTCTTACGCGTCTCAGGCATGGTCACGGCGAAGACCACAAACAAGGCCAACATCAATATGCCCACAAACAGCGTATACACATACATCGAGAAGGTATTGAAGTGGAAGGTGCAAATGACAATAATATGTATCACTTGCTGCAACGTCAGACAGGCAGCTATGAAGTACGGCTTAAGTGACATCGGAAACGCTTCGCTCAAATACACCGAGGAACTGGGCGCATACAGACCAGCAAAGAATTGAAAGAGTTGCGAAAGCACACAGATTACCGACATGTGGTACTCGCTCACTACGCTCAACTCATCCACATACTCGCCACCAATGGCGATCGATAGCACCGCGGTGATCAGCAGTGCCACCAACGACACCAACTTTCTGCCGGTCACATCGAACATATAAAGCGATGAGAAGGTACCGCCAACGCGTAGTATGACAAACACTATAGGCTGCCATTCATAATCGCGCAACACCACTAAATTGGCCACCTTCATCGCCTCGTTCATGGGCAGCGAGAAGCCGAACGCGACCATGCTGCGATAGAGCATTAAACGCAGCAATGGACTCTGCACCAGCGTATCGTGCCATTCCACCGTCTCCGTCTCCACCACATAGGTCTTCAGCTGATGCAGCAGCACTTGCAGCGTCTGCGGTGCTGCATACTCGGGCCGCTGTAGCTGTCGCAAGCAATTAAGCGCGCGCGCATCATCACATTGTCGTATAAATAAGATCGGCGACTCCACAATGAAGTGCGCTAAGCAAATAGCGAGCACGCCGAAAATGATGGCAAATATGCCGTGCAAGCGATCGGCGGCGAAATACACCTGCGACGTCCATTGTGATGTGTAGACGACTTGTATGACAACGCCGATCGTCATGCTGTTCTGCTCCAGCCACAAGCAGAAGCCGCGATTCTCCGTGGCCGCTATTTCGCTGGCGTGCACCAGAAATGTCAACGTCGTGCTGCCGATCGCGATGCCGTTGATGTAGCGTGCTGCCAGTATGGCGCTATAGTTGTACGGCACGCTGGTGAAGATGATGCCGCCAATGATGACCAGAAAGGCGCCAAGCAACTGCAAAATGCCAACTGATCGCAGATGAGCAACAGCAACAAATCGTTGCAGATGACTATTTCATGCTAAACTTACCACAAAGAGGCGCTTCGGCACACATTTTATAAGCGGCGCTGCCAGCAGGGCACCAATTATGAAGCCCACGAACCAGGAGTAACGCAACTGCATGGTGGTGTGTATGTGGGTGTGCAGATTCCAACCGAGTCCAAAGGCCATACTCATGCCACCGGGAATGAAAATTAATGCGCCTGGAATATGACATGAAATAAAATATTTAAATAATTTTCCAAAAAGGCTGACAGCCAGATCTGGGTGAGATGGAATGCTTTAATGACATGCCGGATCGCCAAGACCATATGCAAGGGTACGGAAGGAAAACACACATGCTTTTTACTCACACAGTCTCGGATTTGATATCTAGGGGTTTCGCAGTTCAAGGGACTAAATGAAGTATCAGAATTAGATATCAAGTTTCTATTCAACTTTGCAAAAAGCGTTGACGTCCTTTATGACGTAAATTCGTATTGAACTGAAACTACATCTGTCATTACAAAGAACCAGTAGGTCTATGTATGTCGTGACAGCCAGTCAGTATAACCTATACATGACATTGGCGGAGCTTCTAGATATTTTTAGAGATCACTTTTGGGCAGACTCAGATGAACTGGAATACCTGTCAGTGCTATAGAACCAAATCCATTCGAGAAGTTAGAGCCTGCTCAAGAGACACTTTTAATTTTTCCAAAACCTTTCCGCTGAAAATCTGTGTTAATTGTTTCTCCGTATACTAGCCCGTAAAGACTTAAAAATCGACCAATGGTCACTTCTAAATATCAATCAGTTTTTATTCTATTCCCCAACGCGTTCATTTAAACCGTTTACCACTCATGTATAACCCGTTTTGAACTAATCGAACCCTTCTGCTACATATGTCATGATACTAATTCTTATTCAAGTACATTTTATTTATCAGACGCACTTTTTAGCTTGGAAAAACTATGCCAGCTTCTAGTAATGCTTAACATTCAAAAGAACCTGGCTTATAAATATAAAACTACTGAAATTTTTTGCCGCTGAACACGTTTAGATCTTGACGCTTCACACACTTATGTTTCTCATGACACAACAAATTTTGCGCTTTATGCGATCCGCGTGCTGGTCGGGCGAGATTGATGCATTTATTATTATACTATTAACATATACAAGTATGCATAAGTAATTAATTTTTTAATTATTACAGCCGATCCACCACGAACAAAATTATGCGGGTAGATTGTATGATATTGAATTTATCGTATTTTAAGTATGATTGGGCTGTCGTACTTAAAATATGGGGGGGTGGGTTATCGACTGTGATAATTAAAAAATCAATTACTTATAGCGAGGAGCTTAAATAAAGTACAGAACACCTCCAAACCACTTCAATAACAATGGCAAACAAAACAAAACCTTTATTATTGTACCGCTTACAGCACCCCAAAGCACAATAGAAAATACGATTAATATAAATAGATTATAAACTTACGTAAATATTGATTTATTATGAATGACGATTATAACATAAAACATACATTCTAGGGTTCACGCTGGACAACCACTAAAGGCAGAGAATTATTAAAAGCTATTCAACAAATTGGCTGTAATCAAGTTTCCACTGGCAAACCAACCTACCGGCCTTCTTTTGACCCAGCGAAAACTCCCGACCTCATAGACTTCTTTATTGCACGACAAATTTCATTTTAAAAAATGTTGAACATTGCAAATGTTGACAGCTTACATCTTATCTCAGATCATAGCCATATTTTGCCAACAGCCTTCCTCTGCAGTGAGTTTACATATTGTGGCGCAAAAAGTGGCATATTAAAGTAAACAATACGAAACCTGTCCATATTGGTTTCACTAATAAAACACTACATTATTTGGCTCTCTACATAAATGGGATAAAGATAGCATACTCTATGTATGAATCTGAATTTAAAATATATGAATTGGTTGATCAGAAGATGTTCCACATTAAATGACGCTTTGCGGTTGCAATAAGTTTTTTTTATATCCGCGGCTGCTTTCAGTAATTTAATAATGTTTTCCTCAGTATGATTTCTAAGTTTAGGCTTAAATTCGCGTACAAAATAAATAAATTCGCGTGAAAATAAACTTTCTTATTATGAGTATAATACTACATGTAATTGCGATAGGCTTGTTAACCTTAAGAAAATAAGTTAGTATAATGATCAGTAGAAAGTTTGCACACGCCTTTTTCTCTACCAGAAACTGCTCATTTGTCGGTACCGCCGATATCGGTTAACTATAGCATATAGCTGCTAAACCAACTGTACGATTAAACTTAAGTCCTTGTATAGAAAACTTTTTTATTTGATATCCTCACAAAATTTGGCAAAGATTATAATCGAAGGCATCGCCACCATCTTCGAAGAAATTTTTCAGATTTGACAACTATGGCTACATATAGCTGTCGTATTAACTAACCGAACAAACTCAAATCGCTGTATGGAAAAATTTTTTATGTGACAAGATATCTTCATGAACCCGTTAACGTTTTTCTTGTTTTTTTTTATATATTATATAATTTTTATTTTATAAAAAATTAGTGTTTTATATATCAACTCCATTGTTACACTATCAAAATGCTGCAGTAAAATAAATTCAATATTAACATCATTTTATACATATTGTATTTAATTCTCCATGATATATCACCACAACATCGAATCACTGGCTTTTGTTATCAACGAAAATTGATTGATAATATTTGTACACAGATTTATTGAGTAATATTGCTAATCTTTACACATTTTTTGATTCAATCTACACTTATTGCAATCGTTTTCTTTACACTCATGAGTTTCCACACCATTTTCATTACACGCACATACACACTTATGCAATCAAAATTAAAGTACATTGCACGGTCACAATTTCACATACATCCGTTATTACAATACAAGTATATACACGTAATAAAGCGCGTGTCTCATTGTGCATTACCTGAGAGTAAAGACATCCACTGTTTCACTGTTGGATGGTATACAATTTTATTTTTCCTTTGCGGAAAAGGATCTTCATGGGCCTGTGTAATAGGTGGACTATTTCGGCAAATCATTTCAAGCTCCGTATCCTTAGCCATCAATTTAAAAGTGGTGACTTTTTTCTAAACCGCCTAAATATTCCAAAACTGCCGGCTTTTTTAACGCTGGTTCCACAAGCTTCAAATGTTCTAAATGTACTAAAGTCACTAACTGTGCATTCGATTTCCATTACTGCCAACATTTACACACACATACAAACATACAGATATACAGACTAAACATAACACAAAGGGCATTAGGTGTTATCAAAGCGGTCGATAAAGTGGGATAAATGTAGCATTAAGTCGAAATGACAAATAACGGTGACGAAGTCAAGTAGAACTATTGTCTTATCGATTTTCGAAAGGTAAACAATCAAAAGCAATGCTCGCAAGCATTGCGTGAACATAAAAGCGAAATAGTTAGGAGTTAGATAAAGTGAAAAGTTATCAAAACAAACAACCTAAAATAGCAGAAATTTTGTAAAAACAAAACCATTCGATTTACCATATATATATGTACAAGTATATATATATATATGTAAGTATATATGTGTATATTCTAGGTAACCAATTGGTAAACAAACCGCTCTCCCGCCAATCGTAATGTGACTCATGTTGTGCGTACTTTGTATGGAATATATTCTTTATTAGATAAAATTAAATTTTCTTAAAGTAAGATGAGGAATTATTAACACGTTTCGGGAGAACTATTTTTAGATAGATCTTGCAGCTATGCAGGCGATGTATTAAAATATCACTTTACACTAGACCATTTCCTCTTATGGATAATCGCTATTTTAAAAAACTTTATATAATTTTAGATTGGCCCAGACGCCAAAATAAAACCAGTACTTGTCGAGAACTTAACACATACACAAAAGCTTTGGCTACTGTGGTTAGCTAAAAAGATCATTGCAACCATATACTCAACCCACAGACCAAATGCAGAGAGACTAAGTTCGCCACTAAATTTCCATTGAGAGTAAACAACACAAAGAATGAAATATAATTGGTATGAGTTATAAACCTATGTGGTAGAAAAATGTTTGGAGAGATCTCTTGGCGAATGTGGAATCAGTTTTAAAAGCGATATCGTATAATCAACCTCTATTACCTACTGATATCAAAGTATACTATTTGATATGGAAAAGAGGCAGGCTTTTACAGAGAATAAGCACGAATATGTGACTTATTTATGTTAATTATAGAGGAGACCCATTTTGGCGCACACTTCCCAAGGTCTGTGATAATGCTTGTAAGTCTACATATACTTTTCCCTCACCAGCTTTTGTATGAGAATATACTTACAAATACTTATATACTATATATAAAAATTTACATTTCACGTTGTTTGTCTTCTAAACTACTGAACAGGTTTTTGTAAAATTTAGCACATTGTGTCCAGTTTGATCCAACTTAAAATATAGCATAGTTTATATCTCAATTTTGTCAAATGTCAAAACAATTCATAAATAAAAAAATGTATCTCTAAACATAAGCATGGATTCAAAACTAAAAAAAAAAAATATTATAATTATTATTAAATTTTCAGTAAACTGATGAGAAAAAATCAAACCTTAACAAACAACTACATTTGATGATTTCCGACAGACCATGTCGGTCTTTCCTCGCTCTACATTTTCCGATTATATAAATGAATGTTTGATAAAAATGAAAGCATAAATTTTCAATGTAAGTTTTTAAAATTTCTAGACATATGTACTCGTATCTGTAATGCCCCCTAATAACCTTCGGTTAAAAATTTGTGCTACCTATTATTCTTCTATTAGAAGGTAGCTAAGACGGATTGCTGAATTAAGTTGATTTGAATATGATTATAATAGAAAATTCAAATTTTATTGACCACGGTTTTTATACCGTAATATAACGTTTTTGTATTCAATTATAAAAAACATGTCTCCTCTATTGATCAGCTAAAAATGGGTAAAAAATGTACAGATCGCTACAAACTATATTAAAATGTTCGAGTGCAATACGATCGCAAGAAGAGAGAATAAAGCCTTCAAATTACTGTATACGAAACGAATGGCTAGACCTTTTCAATACCAGAATTGCCAAGTGGAGGAATTGGCTACTATTTGCCAAACAAACAATGCACGTGAGAGCAATAATCGACTAGTCTAACAGATCAGCATTAGGCGTTGAATGAAATAATGAGTCGAACTAGTTCCCTGTGTTAACGGATGAATTGAATTAGAGTGAGTATGTTAGTTACGTCATATAGTCCAGTAGGATCTGAAGAAATTTGATGTCATATTTAACGAAATCACCCAAAAAAGAGGAATGCTTTCGAAATTACGACGGTACAGAAACAGCTGAACCAAACGTAATCTCAATTGAAAAGAAGATGAGAAGATTTTGAAGAAACGTGATGTGTAAGTCAACGCATACTACCAACTCTTTGTTATGTTTAAATTCACAGAAAAAACGTTAATCAACTGTGGCAAATCTCATGAATCTCATAACGAACTACAACAATTAAGCAGCAAACTTAATTGGCAACCTTTCACCGCAACACTTCGTGTGGTTGTACGTGTAATTCAACATTATTAAGGTAATTTGAAAATTTTTAATACATAAAATCATAAGCGTCAAAACTTTTGTAATCACTCATGCTGTGTGTTTGAAAAAAAGCTTCAAAATTTTACCGGCGAATTGCGCCTGCAACTCTAGGTATTGAACATCGTAGTGTGATTAATCAGAGTAGTAGTCAAGTAGATGAGTTTGAGAAAGCATTCTAAATTATAAATGGAGGTATGTAAATGGCGTTCACTTGGCTTGATGGCCGTAAAATGCGGCTTAGAGCGCACATTCAAACCAACATTCACTCGCTAATTTAGGTGGCCGGCAAAACGGGTTGGCAGCAAGCTGGCGCATTTGCACTCAATTTATTTAGATTTGCTTGTCAAATGTAAAACTTAATTGTTCTGACTCCTAATTGCATGCAAAAAATGATTAATGAGTTGGCCGTTAAATTAGTGTAGAAAATAGTAAAATTTATAAATTTTTAGTTTTTTTTCCTGGGTGCAAATGGTGTGCTCTTTTTGGCACGCTCTTTCATTTTTAGACTAATGAATTACTTTTTATTTGATGAAGTCGTAAGTCGACCTTTCTCCAACACAAACTGCATAATCACTGTTTGCTTAAGCTTTTGCATGAGTGAAATAAAAATAAAATCAGAAATTCTAAAAATTTATTTTCCACGAATTGCAACACTTTTCAGCTCATGACATTTGAGTCAAAATAATTTGGTGCGCTAGTTAGTGACGATAATTGATGTTATGTGTTTAATACACGCTAATAATCATTAGCAAATGTTCAATTTGTGCAGCCAGAAGCAGCACGATTTAATCTACGCCATTTTTTAGAATGACTTAAGTAAGCTTAAGTTGATTTGTATAATTTAGGTTATTATATTCAGTTTATACCAAACTCAGAATTTCATCTCATAAGCTGTCTTAAAATCGAACTTTTTAAATTACTAGGAATAGAGCCAAAAAGTATGCGAAAATTTTTTTTGATGGAAACCAAAATACTCATCGAAACTAATTAAACTTAAGCTACTTTAAACTAACACCACCGAAATATTAAAATGCTCAAACTAGTAATATTTTTTATGGTTTCTAAATTTAAATTTGGTACAGTAAGTAATAGTGATATATTTTTATAGTTTTTGAAAAATCTGAGCTGGACCAATCTATTTATTAAATAAATTGTCTCTTCAAAGAAAATCACAAATACGGGTTTTTTCTAACTTGCATGTGGATATAACTCCTTAAGTTAAATTGTACCTATACATATGCGGATACCTCAAGGACTTATGCTGAGAAAATAGAGCTAAAAGGCGCTGCCTGACTTATCATTTTCTGGGAAGGTCTAAATCAAGAGAATGAAAATAACCAGCGTTAAAAAATGTAAATGCTTCATAGCAATCGTGAGCCTAAACTTTATACTAAAGACTTCTTTCATTACGTCACGTACCAACCACTTACCCGTCAAGCGCACTCGAAGAAAACTAACAGAGCGAAACTGTCATAAGAATCTGTATTTCGGAAATTCTTAAGTTTGAATATAATCAAACACTTTCTTATTAAATATTTATATATTATATGACTAAATTAAGTGACTTTCAAAAAATATTTTATAATAGTTAAGGAATACTGTACCACGCTCAACTTTATTTGTAATATTGTAGTCACGATCATCCAGTTTAATTCAGCGTTTCTGACTTCACCTCTTGATAGTCGAAAATATTTTCACATAAAACAATATTTATTAACGGTTTCTTCTTCAAGAGGCTTTATATATTAAATTAAGGGCAAAGCTTACAAGAGCGACTGAAAACTATATTGGTAAAAGGTGCTCCTAACAATATAGAAAGAGCATATGCACATATTCTTCCCTATTTGTTGCCAAATACAATGAAGAACAGTTCAGCATGACATATTGTTGCTAGGAATTTATTTAACAGACGAGAAGTGAGTAATTTTAGTCCAAATGCAAAAATCTGAAACTTAGCCAGTTACTTGTTTAATTCACAACTCTTCAGAGATTGGCGAATCGGTGCACTTTTTTATATAAAATTGTGAATGATCGCTGTTAGACGAGTTAAGAAGTCATTTTATCATCGAATATCCAACGATTCGAAAATGCTATGTTTAAATTAGAGCATATGCAACGAACGCACCAGCGAAGGATGTGATCTGAAAGAAATTCTGTTACATAATACTACGATTAAACAGCTTAGTATTAGCAATACTCACCTGTGATTAAAAATTGTAAATCAATTGAAATGGGATTATATATTCATCTAAATATCTATTTCTATGTTTTCGAAGGTGAGAAATCTATGTTTGTGGTGTAGATTAGGTTAGGTTAAAAGGCCGATTCTATAGGAATTGCCAACAGGGATATCACTTTGACAACGTTGAACGCTGGCCCATTGTGGTACCTAAAACACCCATATGATGATCATAAAGACCCTAATAATTCGACAAAGCGTTTTGAGCCTATAGCTCTTGTTTCCCTGATGGTATGACTGCCGAGATGTTTAGATCGAGAGTTTATGGTGAAAAGCATAAAAAAAATTTTTACAGAAAAGTCAAAAATCACAACTTAAATAATTTT